AATTTTTTATATTTTTTGATTGGAAAAATGAAATTCATAGTCTACATTTAACTGGATAACCAAAGTCACTTAGGTAAAGAACATGTGTATTCCCAGACAGTGGAGGGTAAGGAATAGATTTCTATGACAGTTGAGGGGTTAAAAAAAAAAAAAAATGAAGAGGCCAAGGGAGAAAAGACAGGGTCAAATTGATGATGGCATTGCCCAAATTTCCACAAAAGTAGTGAAAGCTGAGTACTCAAATTAAGGTTCCTACTTGTTCTTTGTCCTTAAATTGGGTATCATTCGTCTTTTATGATATTAGACAATACATATCAAAAGGATCGAAATGTATTTAAATAAAAAATATTTTTAAAATAATATTTTTTAAAAATCAGATTATCCTATACACCATGGATCCTTTACAAGGGTTATCAGGTAACCTTGTCATAAACATCTTACTAAATATTTTACATACATCCCAAGTAAGTATAAGCTTTACTTTCACTTTCTAATAAAAAGCAAATAAAATACATCTTCCTAGATGTTTAAATACTGTCAAGGAATGTTTCCAGGTTTAAATGTTATTCTTTCATAGTATAAACTACAATAATACAGATTATCTAAGTATCCCAAACCAAACTATTAAGTAGAACTATATGAAATTGCTGACAGTCAACTTTATTTTACCTACAAAATGGCAATTTCAAAAACCATATGAAAAAGAGTGGGCGAAAGAAAATCTAACACCAGAGGAAATGAAAAACTAACACTCACTCCATAGAAATGCCTCAATTAATGGAAAATTATAGCACTTGTCTAAAATTTAGTACCTGGCAGATCTGTCCATCAGAATTCACAGATGTCTCAGACAAGTGGTAATTTCACAATAATTAACATCTTGGAAGCTAGCCTCATTCTTTGCTGATTTATTACAACCACAAATGTTTTTCATCTCTTTTAAAAAACAATAAATCACCTTGAACCCAAAGCTACATTGGAACCCTAAAAAATGAGTTAATCTTTAGCTATAGAGAGACAGTAGTGGGCTATTGAGTGGGTATGCTGCTAAATGTTTGCAAAAACCAGCTCTCCAAGTGGAAAAGTGTGTGTGTGTGTGTGTGTGTGTGTAATAAATTTTACTGATATTAAGGATGGGCAGCACACATACAAGTAATAACAAATTGTAGGATACTCTGTTGTGAATTGTGTATAGTCAGTTGATTCCCATAGAATGATTTGTTAATTTTTACCATGGCTTTTAGCAGTAGCCAACTTATGGTTGCAACTTGAAACCAAACATAGTTGCAACATCCATGTTGAACATCCATCATCATATATGTTAACAAGTTGGATAAAAGTGAAACAATGAAGACAAATGTCAGATTTCACTCATTCCTCAATGATGCGGGTGATATCTATGCTAAACTGGATAATACCTTTTGAATGCCAGCAGAATATATACCCGATTTCCTGTGCTCTTCACATTTTAAAAGCTGTTATAGACTGAATATTTGTATCTTCACAATATTTGTATGTTGAAATCCTAACCCTCCCACCCAATGTGATTAATAGGAGGTAAAGTCCCTGGGAGGAGCTTAGGTCATGAGGGCAGAGCCTTCATGATTGGGATTAGCGCCCTTAGGAAAAGAGACAGGAGAAAGATGATGCATCTCTCTCTGCCATGTGAAGATACAACGAAAAGGCAGACCATCTTCAAAGAAAAGCAATAAAGAGGACCTTCACAAAGAACCAAATCTGTGGTGCCTTGATCTTGGACTTCCCAGCCTCCAAAACTATGAGAAATAAATCCTTGTTGTTTAAGCCACCCAGTATATGGTAATTTGTTAAGAGCTCAGGTTTACTAGGCAATAGCTATAGACACTAGACACTTAAATTTAATCTGCATTATTAGCATTTTCTCCATCACTTTTAAAGTCTACAGACAAATGACAAAACATAAATCAAGCCCTGATTTGAATTTTCTGACTTCTATGCTGTAAATACTACCACCATGACTTACTGCAAGCTACCAAAATGAAACCAATGAACAGAGTTGGGAAGAGGTGACAGCACACCATTTTATGATATTTCCACCATACATACACAATAGATGGTAATAACCTGAAGACTGTAAACTCTAGTACCATGCAATAAAATAAGTAGGAAATGATGAATTTTGAGTATTTATTACCTTTGTTTTTAATATCATTATTTAATTGTATACATACATAATTTGGTATTTAATAGTAGCTGTGTTTAACAACTGGCTTGCAAAATTCCCGACTGGCTCTTGTGAATAAATAGAAGTAGCTCTGTCACACCACTGGGAGATGGAAAAAAAATATCCCAATTCTAAAGTATCTCCATACATTGCAGCTATTAACTACACTATTGCTATGATAACTAAAAAGCAGTGTCTATTTTCTAGCCTACAAGAGTAAAATGACTGAAGTTTATCTAGATATTTCAGTGTTAGAACTAGCTCCATCAACAATAGATACAAGATTCTCATTTCTTAAAATAGTAGCAACAACTTCACAATCCTGTTTTAGAAACTTATTCTGATAATATTTTATAGTTATTAAAGATGTTAAGTAATTAAACCCTAACATATAAAGGTAACTGTATAAACTAGCAAGAAGAATAACTACCTTTAGAAAACCAAAAATTTGTAGGGCACCTGGGTGGCTCAGTCAGCTAAGCGTCTGACTGTTGATTTCAGCTCGGGTCATGATCTCACAGTTCATGAGATCGAGCCCCACCTCAGATCGGGGCTGACTAGCCTCTGAGCTGACTAGCACCTCTCTCTCTCTTTCCCCAAAATAAATAAATAAACTTAAAAAAAAAAAAAGAAAACCAAAAATTTGTCATCTGATAATTTATAATAACATACTTTAAAGGTACATGAAAGATCATTACTACAGAATCTCTCAAAGTCAAATCTTGCCTCTGGATATTTAAAAGGAGTTAGGTAACACAAAGGCCAATAATAACATGTTTAAAAAGGCCTAATCTTATTCCATGCTTCAGGGTATAAACTGATCAGCTGAAGAGCTGGAAAGGAAGAACCAACTGCCCTCCCTATTTGCTTTCCGCCCACCATATATAACATTTCACAAGTGAAAGGTGACTGACAGAGGCAATTTCAACTTCGCTCTGAAGTATCAAGATCTACTGATAGGATAAAAGATTGAATGATGGATAATATCAGCTCATTAGTTGTATTCAACATCCAAATATTGTCCTAAAGCACATAATACTGGCCTCCACGATCCATCTGTTCTTAGTTGCTACTCTGTCTGCAGTTCAGAAAAATGAAGCGCAGCTCAGATTGGTGGAAGCCACCTTCACTGTGCCATATGCATCCCGCTTCTCTTTGCAAATACAGCGACATTTGAAAACAATGCACTTTCTTGCTTCTTTACCAGCTTCAGGATAAAAAAAAAAATGATCTCCAAATCATGGAATTTCATTTCATATGAAGAAAAGAATAAAAAATAATATTAAAGACAGACTTTTACTTTAGTTGCCGTAATTTTAAAAATAGGGGGTGGGGGGCTCCTGGGTGTCCTACTTGGTTAAGCATCTAACTCTTGACTTCGGCTCAGGTCATGATCTCACAGTTTGTGAGTTTGAGCCCCATATCAGGCTCTGTGCTGACAGTGTGGATCTTGCTTGGGATTCTATCTCCCTCTCTCTCTGCCCCTCCCCAGCCTGCTCTCTATTTCTCTCTCTAAGTAAAAAATAATTATTAAAAAAAAAAAAATACAGGGGTTGTTTTTAAAACAAAGTATTTGTGACATCAGTTATAACCAACTGGTCATCCTATAACATTTCCAGTCATTAAGCTCTTCAAAAATACAATTAAAAAAAAAGACATAAAAAAATAAAATATTTCCAGTCAACACCGATATTCCAAATAATGACAGAACCATCAAATTGTAGTAGAAACATTTTAGATTACATTGTCTTGTCAGTGTTTTTTATAAAGAGCAGTTTTATTTATTTATACTGTTTTGCTGTTTAAAATATTTATGATAGAAGTTAAATCAATGTATAAGTCACTCAATAAAATTTTTGGTTCTATTAATGACTAGATACTCATTGAGAAACCACAATATTGGAATGGCTCAAAAATATACCAGAGAAAGTCTGCTAATAGTAAGCTCTCTTCCAGCCAACGTTTAGTTTTAATATTAAGTCAGAAAACTCAATTTCCAAAAATGGAATGGCTAAGTTAGAATCCAGTTCATACAATTCATTTAGTCAACCTTTTCCATGGCAAAATATCTCAGGCTATTCTGAAAGTACAGATGAGGGCAATGAATTAGAAGCATCTTTATCTATTCATTTCTCTTGGTACCAAAAAGCCCGGGGGTGGAATGACAGAGACCTGGCTCTACCAGCCCAATGCTTAGCAACACTTTCCACCATGCTTTCATTTTCCATACTTCATGGAAATCAACTGGTCCCTCCTCAGATTATAACCAACCATGAAATTTATTTGAAACAAAGACAATAATACAAAAGATAGGTATTTTACAGAAAAGTCTGTCAAATGTAAGAGTATAAATAAGACATAGTGCCTTCCCTATTTCTATATTATGGGATGAACAACCTACCTTAAATAATTATTCTCATATCTAACCATCATGATCGTATAACAAAAGAGCAGATGGATTTTTTTTTTTGTAGTCCTAGACTTAAGTAATAAATATGATACTGAGCCTTGGATAAATGATCATTTATAGACTGGACACCATTTCACATACCAAGTAAACCCTTTATGATATTAGAATTCAGAGAATTTGTCATATCTTAGTCTATTGTCCTAACTCTGACAAATCCTCAAGTCTAAAGCATATTCCCTGATATATTCAAAAATCTACAAGTTTGATGATTCATCTGAAATATTCAGTTGTTTCATCATAGCATTATTACCAAACAATCTCAGTCAATCAGAATAGACATATATGAAGCAAACAAGGCACCTTGGCATTTGTAGCCTTAGTAACTGCTGAAATCTTTCCAACAGGACTGCAACTCTGCCCAACTGGATCAAAGTGTCATTAGGAAATAAATGGCTGTGGCATATGAACTTGAGGAAGAAATATGGAGAGGAGTAAAAACAGCAGAGGACATGAGATGAAGTAAGATGAAGTAAAGGTAAGAGACGGAGTGAGACAGGTAAGAGAGCGAGGCAGTTGCTTTGCCCTGCATTACCATTATCAGGGTTGGTAAACATCCTACTTGCACTGGAGACTGTCTTCCCAATGTCAGCCAGGGATCGAAGGTTGGATTTCTTGGTTTGATGCCGGTGCTTCCGGAGCAAAGTATAGGTCACCTTGTCCTTAAGGTCAGGTTTCAATAGGCCTGTCTCAATCTGATGGTCAACAATCATCTCTGATATCAGAAAAAAAAAAAAAAAAAAAAGGCAAAACAAAAACAAAAAGCAAAATTCAGTCACAAGATCACAAAGTTAATTTTCTCTCCAACTTTATGGATATCATCCTCAAACTTTATATCAATAAACTATTTTCCAAATTTCCAACTTCCCACTTTATATAAAGGGTAAAGATACAGGACACACAGATTCTGGCATTAATGAGAGAGTTTTAAATACTCCACTATGAATTATATGTTTGGGGAGGGAGAATCATCTTGTCTTTTCTCAATCCCAGTTAATAGTGAATTAACATTAATCACATTCTTCTATGAATAACACAGTCAGTAATTTACATTTTTTCAATTAAGTAAAAAAAAGTAAGATTAGAAAATTCATGTACTCTATCATAGCAAGTATGCCAGAAACATAAATGATATTTAAAAAACTTGAAAAGAATATACAAAATTTAATGTGCTGACATTACTGATTTTTAGATCTATTTTCCCAAATCCTTCTGTAATGATGTATTTTCCTTAAAATAGGATGAAGTAAAGGAAAACAATACTCTTCCCCATATCAGGTGATATAAACACCAATTAATCCAATGAAAGAAAAACTAAACTACAAAACTGCCTTTGCCTTTTCTAAGAAGGGAGGTTTATTCTTTCAGATCCAACAAAAGCCTTTCCAATATATTCCATTGATCATTTTAAAATGTAACCTGCCCAGAATTTTCTATGAAATTTTCATCTTACTGCAAAAAAGTTATAATTTCTATTAGTTCTTGTTTTTAGGATGGATTTAATTGGAAAAGCTAACTATTTCATAGAAACTGCTCCATAGGGAGCTCTGATAAGGGACAAGTTTTACTCTAAAAGAAGAAACCCTCTTTCTCACAAGTCAGCACGTTAGCGGCAGGCAGGGCAGAAATGCAGCCTGGTGCATCCTTCTTTACGTCGCACAACAGGTCAACATTTCCTCTGTCCGGAACAGTGCACAGGACAAAACATCACAGAATCTATGCAAGATATGCAATGGCAGGACATTACCTCCCTCGCTGTATGCACATAGAGCTTCTGTCCTTTACCTAGAACCAGAAAGAACACCTACCTTTTCAGGTATATGAGTGCATCTAGCACACCTCAACGTTTTCCTCTTAGGCAATGTTCTCAGTATACAAAAGTGAAGAGAGAAGAAAAGCTCTCCTCTTGCCAAAGTCTGACAGAAAAAACTGATGGGAACTGGAAGGGTAGCACCATCTCCTAAGCACGGCCATCTCTTTGTAAACAGAAGTCACAGATGTTCCAGGGGTTCTGCCTGGCCGTCACCGCATCACTCAGGGGACCATCTTCACAGCAAGCACTCACAGAACTGGCCTCACAACCTACAGCTAGAAACGGACAACTTACACCATATACAATCAACTACTTAGAAGCCAAGCAGAGGCGGACTCCTGGATTTTCCATGACACGTCTTACACAAGTGCCACGAATGTCACATAACACCGGGCCACGTGGTGGGGAGCGTGGGCAAGGTAGGAAGAGTTTCTCCCGGAGGAATGTTTTGGTTTGAGAGTGGTCTTTAGCTCTGAGTGTTTTTACCTGCCCAAACTCTCCTCAGTGAAACTCTCAGAGCTGATCCTATAATTACAGTTAACCTTCTGCTCCATAGTAAAATAATTAGGTGTTACTCGTCTACTTTCCCTTTAAGTCTTGTTCAGTGCGGAAGGTCCATTTGACAGAGAACCGTAAAAATAAACAAACAGCCTCCGTGTATTTGTGGCCCATGTTATCAAGCTCCTACTCTCATTCCAGGGTTGTGGATTAAAGTGTCTCTTATCTACCCTTCCTGGCAGGGCCTCCCTCTGTGCTTGCCTTCCCTTGTAATCTCAAACCTATCCATACATACGCACAGCCAGCCCTCTGTTACTAATGCCTGGAAACCACCAGTTAGAACAGGTTAAGACATCTGTGTGGCTTATGCCCTTCATTAAGTTTCCATAAAACAGCCCACATTACAGGGATCTTTTTTAAGCGCAAACTACAAAACCTTTCAAGGAAAGTGGGGGCAGTAACATTTCACAGCTACACTGAAATTAAGCCTTCAGTGTTCAAAATCCCACAACCACTACCAGTTGGGAGAGAGCGTGCCAACCGTAGATGATAGCAGAGCTGAAAGAGAGTTCAGGAAACACCAACTTCAATCTCTTGTCGTATTGGGAAGAGAGGGCAAGAGACAGAGGACTTGCTGTCAGACGAAGCCTCACCAGAGGTGCAACTGCCCAAGTTAAACCAGGTTTTCTGACTCACAGTTTACATCTTTTTCCATATCACACAGTGTTTCTCTTTATTTAAAAAAGTGGGCTCTAGACCCCAACCAACAATCAAGCAAACAAACAAACAAAAACCCTGATATATGCATGGGCTTCCACAAACCAAGAGACTGGTGTTCATGCAACAAAAAATGGCCAAAAGTAACAAACATTTTTAAATGAAACACAAGGCCCAAGAAATACTGAACTTCAAGATTAATGAAGGCCATTTATAAATATAACCAATTATGAGATTTTACTAACCTACCAAAGTGGCGAAATGTATACGTGGATGTGAAAAGTGGATGCCCTAGGGAATTCCACATACTGACGGTGACAGTAATAACTAGTACAACCTTTCTTGAAGGCCAACCACCAAACACATACAAAACCCTTCAATACATTCAAACTCTTCGACTATTTCACCATTAGAAACCTATGCTTAAAAATAAACAATTTCACGAAACTATAACAGAACGTTCACTTATTCTTTACAATAAAAATTTGAAGACAACTTAAATGCCCAGTAGTAGATCATTAAATATTTTGCAGCCATCAAAATGATGTTCACATGTATATTTAATCACATAGAAACAAATTCATGTTAAGTTTTTAAGTTAAAAAGGGCAGATTAAAGTGTTATAGCATGATCCCATCTGTAAAATAAATTTCATATGTGTAAACGAATATGTACAGAAAAACTGCTGTAAATGGTGGTATTTTCATTTTTGTGTGTTCCACTTTCCTGGATTATTTCAAAATGAACATTTATTACTTTTGTGATAAAAAATAAATACATTGCCATTTTGAAAATCTAAAAGGTGTTAAAAGCAAGAAACGACACGACTAACACATCTGCCAGCATGCACAGCTCAGCAATGCCTTTAAATATAAAAATGAGAACTCCCAAAATAGAGCTACATTTTCCTAATCCATTTCCCATCATAATACAATACCTGAAGTGACTTATAATTTTAACTTAGGAGGGTAGGAAAATCCTCATGCAGTTGCCTTCATGTATGAATGACACTCTTTCATTGTAGGACTATAATGATGATAGTAATAATCAAGCTATTAAAATAATCCGTGAAATGTTGTTTTATCCTTTAATTCCTTTAAAGACAAGTATTTTTCTTAGCATTCAAAGGGGCTCTCCATGAAGAAAACAAGGAGAGGTCCTGAGGAGAATCAGAACAAGGCTGAATGCTGTGTGTGTAAGTATGAGAGGTAACACCTGCTTAAACAGTCACGTGGTGACAGCTTAGCACCTGCAGAGGGAGGCTGCCTCTCAGATGCAGGCCATGAAGAAGGAGCAGCAGGTGGACCGCAAAGAAAGATAAAAATCATGCTATTGTTTGTTTGATATAATCACATCCACTATTATTTCTTTCACTTCTCTTTTGAGGAGATAAAGACAGGGAGGAGGGAAGAAGCATGTTAGAGACTAAACTGTCCATAATTCACAACTCTGAATTATCAGCCCAATGCAGAACAAACCAGCCGCTTCACCTTCTGCTAGAAAAGGATGTTTTAATAACCAAATAATGGCAATAATTCTTCAAGTTACTGTGCCATCTTCTGTCATTTAAAGGGAAATTAGGGCACTTTTTTCTTCATGCTTTTAACTCTCTATAACATTTCAATTCCTCGAGGATTTTTAAATACTTTTTTCAGCCAGGGACACTCTTTCAAACATGCTCTTCCCTCCACTCCTGCAAATTTGATCCTTTTCTTCCCTCCCTCCTTCCTTTCCTCCTTTCATTCCTTCCTTTCCGCTCTCCCTCCCTCCTTTCTTTTGCTGGTAATGTGTGTTATCTGCCTCTGGACTATTTTTCTGTATTATCAGCTACATGATAAGAGTGATGGTACTTCGCAGTGACCTGGTGGTGTCTAATTGTACAATCTAATGACAATTTTTAAAAGTAAAGTGATGGTGGTTAGAGAAAAAGTCCACAACTGATAATAAAAAGTAATGGAAAATTAAAGTGAGAACATAAAATGCTTAATGAACTTTTCCTAAATCTAGTGAATACCAGAACCTCTTTCTTTGCCCAGTGGCTACACAAGGCTCCAATATAATATGGGATTCTGTCTCCTATTGCATGGAAAAGACCAGTCAGTTGCTAAAGACCAGAAGCTCCTTAAGATGGCTCTTTCTGCTACTAAGGATCCTGAAGACAGTTTTATAGAAAAGCCCAAGTTCTACTATAGGACTTACTTTCTTAATTAATATTGGAAACTTGCTAGTGACCCTTCAACCACAACACACATTCTCCCCCAAGACTGTGTATATATTGCCCAGTCACAAGCTTAATTCCCATTTTATCCAGCATTTATGCATTCTGACTTATTTTTTCAACTTGTCTAATTTCAGACATCTTGCTCCAGATTAGTTCTTAAAGTCTGAAAACACAGAAATTGCAATTCTCACTAAAAAACTGGACGGATTTTTGCTAACCATGATATTTTTTTGAGTAACAATCTCCCTTGCAGCAAAACAAATCACCCAGAAAACCATCCCTTCTGCTTGCTTCTATCTGTCTTTGTAGACAGGCTCATCTTCCCTGGGTACAAAAGTCCAAGATTTCCCCAGATACCCATGTTCAGCCTCACTTGCCTGGTCACAAATCAAAAATTCCACAAAGAGCATTATTTCCTTATTTTCTAACCTATGTGGATGTGGGTTTGTAACTTACCCCATTTACAAAGTGAGAGATTTGCAAACATACTTCCAGGGCCTAGAAAAGTGTCTGGCGCATTGTAGAAGTTCATACACCACTGCTGAATAAATTCAGGAGCTAATTAATTCTGTCCACCCTGTATCTTCATATTCGCCCTTCCCCCTTCTCCATGTGTACCTTAAGGATCTCAGGTTCATGAAAAGTATGGGACTTCTTTGCAAATGGAACTAACAAGCTCTCTGAAGAAGGTAAGATACATACATAACAGTAAGATACATGCCTCATTTGACAACTAACCTTTTCTTCCAATACAAATTCTATAGCTTTCCTACTATCTATTAAAAAAAGCAACAGTAACAATACACAGACGCCATAGTCAAGCCTTTTGGCTATAGACATTCAAAGAAATTTTGCAGTGAGTCTGATATACAAGAATTTGATACTGGTCACTTTCTGTGGAACCACAACCCATATTGTCTTCTCCATAATCCCAAGTGAGACACCCTGTGGACCATGTGTAAAAGTGTGGTCATCCATATAGGTCCAGAGCACATCTAGTTATTGAATTTTCCCAGGAATGACAAACAGAGCCCCTGTACCTCATCTAGAGAAAAACATGATCTTCAGTACACCTAGATCTGAAGGCAGTAATAAGGCAGTTTAGGCCAGGCTTTTGTTAGCAAGTGAAAACAATTACTACTGTTCGGAATGTGGTGGTGTGTGCCCAAGGTGTTCAACGTGATGAGTTAACATTCAGTACACAGCACTAATCGCAAAAGAAACCAAGACTGCCCTGCATCAAGAGGTTCAGCTACTTGTTCATGGGTGTATAAATAAATGACACTCAGCACCAATGTGACATGACCAGTCACTAGTCCATGTGGCTAGGGCATGTGGCTGCTGGCCCCCATAATCTTCCTTACATACAGTTACAGGATCTTGACTTCCACCTACAAAATCAGTCCCAACCCAGCAACTAGACTGTTTTCCTTCTTACATAGGACATAAACCCTATTTTACAGATGATGAAACTGAGGCCCAGAGAAGCTCAGCACAATGTTCTAGAAATCTAGTCTCCAGACCTTCAGTCCAATATAACCAAGGAGGGGAGCGGGGGAGCCTCTATTCTAAATATTAACCTTACACTAATAAGTGAGGGAAGTGAATGCAAATCTGTACATATACATTTGGATCCCAACAAAAATAATATGAAAAATTAAAAGCATAAAAGAGAAGACTAAGAAATAAAAACTGGATAGAAACATGCCAAAATGTCAACAATGACTATGGAGATATGACAGATGATTTTTTATTTTCTTCTCAATATTTGTCTGTATCTTCCAAACCTGCAACAAACCTTACTAGTTTTATAGTATAAAAAAAGAGAGAAGATATTCGTTCTAGAAGTCATCTGCCTTAATGGAGACCCATGGATAGGTTGGTAAAGCTAAAAAAAAAAAAAGATAAAAACTTTAAACAACATACTTACCCACCAACTGTGGGAGAGAAGATGCCTCCCTGTCAAGCATGATGGATCCTTTCTCCATACATGTCCTCAGCTCAAATAAGCTGTGAAGGGACAACGTGGCCACGTGGGGCTTGCTCCATCTTTCCCCACCCTGTTCCACTTTTTCTTCAAATTTAATCCACCTAGGAACATGAGATTAGTGAGCAGCAATTAAAAGTATTCTAACCTTCTCTGGAAATAGCGACATCAACCCCTCCATCTCCACCCCCACCGGCACTTCCAAAATGTCCCCTTTGATGGAGTCGTAAAAGCTTATTATATCATTAATTGCATTACCTTTATAAATACACCAAACAGAGTCACTAGACTAGCTCCTTCCCCTGGCATTACAAAGAAAATAAACTAAAGGGAACCAAAGCATCCTTGGTTTCCTATCTGTCTATATGTAACCATGAAATCCTTAAGAATGATTATTTTACTAGCTTTTTAAAATAACATAGGAAAAATGTGCATTTCAAAATTCTCCATGAAAGCCTACACTATGTAAAAATAACCACCGTTGTGAGAATTCTGTTGTGATTTCACAAGGCAAGTTTATACAAGGTGAAATATCAGTTACGAACCAATATTTATCTTAATTATTTGAAAAATATGGTGTATGAAGTGGTCAGATGAATATAAAATTCCCCTTTAATACTTAAAGAGGGCCAGCATGTGTTGCTATGTCTTACTTTGTATTTCTCAGCTGACACATATTCCCTTCTCATTGAGATTCTAATGGAAGCTTTCCCCTTCAAGTCTGGCTCCACATGTTTAAAAATACACAAGTTCAGTGAACACATCTATTCTGATAAAAACAGATCTCCTATAAATCTTAGCAATGGAACAAACAACCCACTGTCTTCCTAAGACTCCTAGACATTTTGATAACTTAGCAATATATAGCAACTTTTTAAAAGCTTAATGGAAATAAAAGCAAAACACGTTTGATAGCCTTTATATCCCACATATTACACATACAGACTCTTTCTTCACTGGTAAAGGAGAACATGAAAGCATCATCATTTTGCTATTCATTATGCCCAAAGAAAAATGCTCCTTTCACTTCAAACCTTCTGAAAGACTGAAAAAGATAAAGAGGGGGTTGAAAAACTGTTTTTCTACATTCTTCACCCAAAGGTTTAATGATTGAATAATGTTTTCCTAGAAAAAACCTAAACACTCACCTAGCTCACTAAAGATGAGAACAAAGGGCAGAGATCAGAGGAAGCTCTACATAAGGTATTATTTATAGACTGCTCACCACCCCCAAAGGAGGAAAAAAAAACACATTAGTAGAACCAGAAGTGAAAACAGATCAAGAGATCAACCACAGAGTCAGAGAAAATTTAGAATTTTAATCAAGCCCAATACTCATGTGATTCATAAGTATTTTAGCCATATCCAAAGACTCTCGGTCTCTACTCCTCTCAGGAAGCCCCTCCCAGCCAGAGAAGTCCCACAGATCAATAGTAACCTTATCTCTAACCTCACCTTCAATTCTAAGACCCTCTCCCTTTCCTCTGTATCCCCCAGAAATGTAAACAGTGGAGATTTTTTTTACATATTTTCCTCACAAGTTAAGAAGCCCACATCACCACCAAAGTTCTAAAACTTCAGAACTGGACCTTGCTTCTTTCCATAAAAGTAGCTGTGAAACATTCCAAACGAGAATTAAGAACCTTTAATATTCGTGTGAGTGTATGTGTCGTGTGTGTATATAATCAAATTAGTAGCTCCCTTTGGTTGCTAATAGTACCATAGAAATAAAAAGAACAGGAGAAAATGACAATTTTACATCACTCTTATAGAATTCTATGGATTTGCCAAAAAGATAAAAGGTACTTGGGGTTATTTCAAAAGTTATCATTTTACAGAGCATATTATATTGGTTAACTCTAGGTATCTTCTCAAGCTTGCTCACGCAATCTTGAACTGTGTTTGTTGATATGTTATATAAATCATATTTACATTTTTAAAATAATTTTGAAAAGGGTGTGGAGGGATGTGTTAAACAGGTGATGGGGATTAAGGAATGCACTTGTCATGATGGGCACAGGGTGAAGTAGGGAAGTGCTGAGTATTGTACACCTGAAACTAATATAACACTGTATGCTAACTAACTGGAATTAAAATAATACTTAAAATAATTTTGAAGCGTATTTCTACTGATGTATAACTGACATAATAATTTCAGGCGTATATTATAGTAAATCATATTTACATTTGGTGTTATAATTTATTATTCAAGACTCATATATTAAAAGATTCCACAGCATATAAAACCATGTCAGAATTACATATAAAGATGTTATCTATAGGAGTGACTCCTTGTTTTTATTCCTAAGAGAATTCTTAGTAGCTGAAGGAGAGAATCTTTGGTCATAGGATTTAAACCCAAGATAAATAACAAAAGCCAGTTTAGAAACTCTGTACAGGGGACTCAGTAAAGGGGAGTGTTTTATACAGCCCTCCCTTCTTATTTTTATTGAATGAGTCCCCTTTCCTATCAGTTGCCATAAATCTGTATTGCTAAATACATACAGTGTGACAGTGGATCTTTTCTGCCATCATTCTCAGCTGTCCAAACTATATAAGTTTATTTTTTATATGCACCCCTGTGTTTACTACAGCATTATTTCCATATTCCAAGATATGGATTTTGTGATGCATGATACTTTATGTACCAATATGTACATAACAGTGATATATGAAACTGTGATAATATGAAATATATATGATATAAATATATAATATATAATGGAATATTATTCTTCCATACAAATAATGAAATCTTGCCATTTGAGACAACATGGATGGCTCTCAAGGGCACTTTGCTAAGTGAAACAAGTCAGACAGAGATAGACAAATATCATATGATATCTCTTACATGTAGAATCAAACCCAAGCTCATAAATACAGAGAATAGATTAGGAGTTGTCAGAGGTGAGAAGTGAAGGATAGGAGAAACGGATGATAGAAGCTTAATAAAATTTTCTTAAAAAAAAAAAAAGGATCAAAACCCCTGTGCTCTTTTGTGGCCAATCTTTTATTTTCTTCTCTCCACAGTTCATATTGTAGGTCACCTGACTAGACTTAACTATGATTCTAAACAAGTTTTAAAAGTACATTTAGAATCATAAATCCTAACCAGCTTGGATTTATGGAAAAGCTACTCACCCTCCTGAAATACACCAGCCCTTTAGGTCAAGATTTAATGACAAATGAATGAAAATGTGAAATCTCAAAACTAGCCAGTTCCCTAGAATCTATGTTCCTAAGGGATAAGTATGATCTCATAGTTCAGTTTAGCTTCTACTTCACTTCGTGTTCAATAAATATTACATGCTGTGATGATGTCATATCATAGCATAGCTAAGGACATCAGGGAAACTCTAGGATAACAACTATTAAATTCCTTCAAAATCTATTGTTCTGATTGTTCAAGGAACTGAGCATATTTCCAACATATGCCTTTGGACATAAAGTAAGAGTTTGCCCATTTAAACAGATTGTTTGCATGTAGTTTCATTCCAGAAACTACATACACTATGTCTATCCTCTTCACATTATCAAGGACAAATCTGAAAAAAAAACCCTGAAAACATACTCAATTCAAATCAGAACCCATTAAAGAAAAGGCTAAGGCAAAGGTACCAAAGTTCAGCCTATCCGAATGCCAATGAATTTGTTAAGGTGTCCTGGAACCATGTAATTACATTTAAAAAAAAAAAACCCAGACATTTTTATTGTAAAATGTACTCTAAGCTACTATCTACCCTTCATAGTAACTGTGCATAACAATATATTTGCAGTAAGTTTCCTACTTTTCCTTTTGTCTTGGTACTTGACATGTTACAGGAAAATTTATTTCAGAAGTGAACTTTTTTAAATGTTTGCAATTACAAAACTGTTGTAACCTTGGAGGAAGAGTTTCTTAGGTAAAATTTATTTATTCCAAGGTTGGAAGAGGACGAAGAGGAAGAAGAAGGAAGAGGAGGAGGAGAAAATACACTGCACTTTAATGTACTTGGAGTGACTTCCAACCAAACAGCATTTCTCTCGTTTATTCAAGAAAGAGAAGGCCCACTGGGAATCACTGAATTTTGCAACTTTCCAATCATATGATTAAATGTAATTAAGAAAAGACACGACCTCTAACTTAAACGCATGCCAATTTTACAGCAGAAAATAGACATTACCTTTGCCCTAGAATATAATCCAACTATATAAGACTATTAAAATAATAAATCTCTTGCTAACTAATAAGTGCCTCATTACATCAAAGAAGCCAATGCTCGTGTGTATCTGGAATAAATTATGTTTTTAAGGAGACCTCTTAAATTTCTAGATCAACTGTGGAAGTTACTGCAAAACAGTGTACGTAACTATAATTACATAGATGGTTAGATTCCTTTTCCTTCGGCTTTTTTGTTACAGAAGAAATAAACTTGTTCTGAAACGGAATGTTCCAAAGTAATCCAGTAGAGAAAAGACAGGGAAGTCAGTGTATATTGGAAAGAGAGCAGTCTCCCTCCAGACCCCCAGGGTAAGTGCACATATCTATGCTTGATGGCCATGCCCTAAAATCAGGTTTTCCAGAGGTAGGCTGGGCCAAGTCTGCCAAGCAGAAACACAAATGGCAATTTGTTTGTACTGTCCCACTAGAAGTACATCAATACCCCTTTTCCTTCGTTGGCTGGTTTTCTTGCTGAAACTTGTGATGGCTTTCCTTTTTACCCAGGTTTGGCAACAAAAACTGAATCACACTAAAGAGACTGATCTTCAGCATATATTCTTATAACAGTGAAGTCCAACATTACCCATCTGAATATTCACTGAAGGAAAACTGAAATCCAATAACCATTTTTGCAGAGGCAGCATTGTGTCAAAGAAATAAAGAATGTGAGGGGCACCTGGGTGGCTCAGTTGGTTAAGCGTTCAACTTGGGCTCAGGTCATGATCTCACATTTGTGAGTTCCAACCCTGTGCTAAGCAATCTTCTGTCAGTACAGAGCCTGCTTTAGATCTTCTGTCTCCCTCTCTCTCTGTCCCTCCCTCTCTCCCTCCCCTCCCCCTCGCATACATATTACCTTTCTCTCTCTCTCTCTCAAAAATAAACATTTTTTTAAAAAAGGAAAGAACGAACTTGGGGTGGTGGGAGATAGCAATAGTTCTTCCCGGCTTTGGGCCAAAACTAGACCATGACTTTTACTCTTTCTCTGGTTTGTGTCATGACCCTATTAGCTAATGCCTAGCCACCTTGAAAGTCTTAATAATGAGCATAGGCTTCTTCACAAATACCAAATAATCCATTCTAATTACTGCTATATTACTAAATGTCAGTACTCCAATGACCTAACACTCAGGAATATAGGAATACCCTTCGAAAAAGAGTATTCCCTGCATTCCACAGAGCATATACATTTCTCAGGCCTAATCATTCTATCCTTTGCACAGTCTTCAATTTGTGCTCTATGTTAGAAGAACCAGTAAAAATCGAAAGTTTTAATTTTTAGGAAAGGGAAAAGCAGGGGAAAGATGTGAGAAAAACAAGAGGGTGGAGGAGATGGCTGTACTTCAAACTTCATACAAATAAAGACTTCCCTTGTTCATAGTTTTACATGACTACAGTGACTTCCAGAAGTTAAACTGGGATATTTTTCCTACTACTGAAACCATTCTCTCTATTTTCTGAGACACAGAGCTTAACCTGAACTTCCTGACTAATACTGAATATGCAGTAGTGCTGAGAATCCATGTAGGGTATTTTTGGTCAAATCAAATCATTAGCCAACTAAAAAGTATAGAGCATTGAAAAGGGTAGTATTGTGTTCTCTGGGGGGGGGTATGGGCTCACAGGAGAAACTGCATTAAGCTAGAGACGTCTAGAGGTTCGTTCTCTTTGGAATAAAAAACAGGTCTATGAATTGGGGTCCTCATGGAAAGGCAAAGATCTCAGTTTTATAAGTCAGCCAGAAAAATATTCATAGCACATTTTCATATATAAAATGAATCCCTTCTAAATATTAAACTTTTATTAGCCTGAGACATTTGGAAGCTTTTAATGGGGGGAAAAATCCCTATCACATCTGGAAACTGGACATCATAAATAGTAGTCAGAAATTACCGCAAAACCATTCTGAAACAGAGAATGTTCCAAGAACTAAAGATTACTAAAAATCTGAATCATTTCTGGAGGTACAATCACCTGCCAACCTCCCAACAGGATCTGGGTGGAGCAGCAAACTAAGAATCCAGGTACTATTTCTCTATTCCTTCAATCTGTTAGAATGTATTTCTTGACTATGGATAGTGTTCCAGGTAGTTGTAGACACTAGAAATATAGTGGTGAACAAAACAACCAAAAATTCCTGCCCTCATGGGACTTTAATTTTATTGGGAAGAGAAAATAACACGATATGCAATGTGCTAAACGGTGGTAAGTGCCAAGGACAAAATAACAGAGGACGGAGGTTAGGAAGTATTGGGGGAAGGTTTCGATTTTATATGGGGTAGCCACCAAAAAGGTAATATGTGAATAAAGACCTGAAGGAGGTGAGGAAATAAGCTGTGTAGATAAAAGGGGTGCGGAAAGATGAGCACTTCAGACAGAGGGAACAGCAAGTGTAATGTCTCTGACACAAGAGCATGACTGGGCAGTGAGTGAACAAGGGGAAGAAAAGCAGGAGATGAGGTCAAAGATACCACTGTGGAATGTTCATGAGGGAGAGAGATAAGGGCAGGTGCAAAGGGATTGACTAATTAGAAAGCATCTGCAGTAATCGAGATGAGAAATGATGAGTACTGCTGTGGCAGTACGGAATGTGAGGTGTGGTGAGATCCTGAATATCTTGATACCTTTGAGGGTAAAATAAATAGGAGTTGTCAATGGATCAAGTAAGGGGTGTAGAGAAAGAAGGCAAGGAAGACTCCCATGTTTCTGGCCTGAGGAACTAGAAGAATGGAGGTGATCACTGCAGTGGAGAACTCTTCAGGGGGAGCAGATCTGAGGCAGGTAGATCAGAAGCTCAATTTTAGACATGTTATTTTGAGAAGTGGATTAGCCATCCAATTATTTGTTTCCAATCAATCATATAAGGAAAGAAATCTAGGCTTGAGAACATAATGCAGATGGCTTCAGTGAATTGATGAATTGGTTTTAAACTTTAAACATAGGGTCCTCTTCTGAGTTCTTTCAACGGTGTGCTAGGTACCTTGGGTCTGTCATTCAGCTGTCCATCAGTCAGAAAGAGATGACTTACAGAATTCCAACTTTGGCCAACTAATATTTCTAAGAAAGTATTATATTTAGAACAGTTGTTTCTAAGGCAATCAGTTCTCAACTAATCACACTCAACAAATATTACTGAGCACCTATTATGGTACCAGGCAGAGAGAGGCACTAGGAATACAGTAGTGAAAGACAGACATATGATCTCTGCTTTCAGACGAATTAGTGTAATGAAGGAGACAAAATGAAAACAATAATATCCTATCTACATTTGATTAACCAATAGTGGGGCTCCTGGGTGGCTCAGTCAGTTAAGCATCTAACTCTTGATTTCAGCTCTGGTCATGATCTCATGGTTCATGAGATGGAGCCCCACGTCAGGCTCTGTGCTGACAGTGCAGAGCCTGTTTGGGATCCTTTCCCTCCATTCCCCCGTTCTCTCTCTCCGCCACTCCCCTGCTCATGCATGCGTGCTCTCTCTCTCTCTCTCTCTCAAAATAAATAAATAAACAAACATTTTTAAAAAATTAACCAATATTAATTGTGGCAAGTCCTATACAGTATATATATAAATAACTATTTATACATACTCTCTCTACATATACACTATATGAAGAGTATAGACTAGCGTGAGTATGTTTCTTCTGAAAAGCACTCCCCCCCTTCCACCAACAACACATGGTGTACTCCCACCACACATTCTCTCCAGCAGTACAGTCTCTCAGGGACTGATGACATCAAAAATGGCACCTGTTTTCTCAAGGAAATAAAGTCCTTAAGGATGGTAAAGTATTCAAAATTATATGAGTCTTTAAGAATCTTAAATGAAAGTATGCTGTCCATTTCACTCAATGTTGAATTACCTACACAGTGAACAGGTACCTCTCCACCTTTCTGAGAACAGAGGTCATATAAAATAGAGTCTGCCTTTGACCAAAAGAAAAATCAGAAAGCTATACCTGAATTCTACTTTATAACAGGTACTCACACAGGAATTTCAAGATGAAAATAAGATTCCAAGTAGCTCTTCTGGTCATGACTATACCAGTATACACACAGGGATGGCATTTTAGAGCTATAAAATATGCATGAAGTTAGAAAGGCATGACACAGTATCACCCTCATTTGACAAAACAGGACACTCAAGCTCAGGAAGACTATGGGAGTACATGACTGGCCCAAAGCTAAGTAGCCCATTAGCAGCAAAGCTAAGACTAGACCAAAATCTCCCCAACACTTAATTCAGGCTCCATCAGTACAATTCTTAGTATGTTTTGTTTTTCTCCTAGAAAGAAGAAAAAGAATGAAATGGAGATACTAGTAAAGGATTCCAATTTGAAGGTCTTCTTTTGGAGGATGTTTTATGAACCCAAAGTATACTTTATGTAGGACTTTTCATATCCTGGTTATTTGGTACTAAGAGAAGGGAATGAACGAGAATTACTTTATCACAGAAAGAGGTCCTGAAAGACCAAGAATGAAGAGCTTCAACAGGGAGCATTAGAGGTGGAGAAGTAGAAATGTGCTACAGGTAGCTTTTGAATAAGAAGGAGAAAATATTAACAGGAGAGTTCAAACAAGCACACCTGCTCTAAGTGTCTGAATACTAGAAAGAGTTATCTAGCAAATGGAAAAGGACAGATTTAAGATGAGGTCTCTTTCCTTATCGCTAGTGGGAGGTCCAGGAGTAAAATGTAATGATTTTTTTTTCTGAGCACAGTTTAAATTATGGAAGATAAGAAATTATCCATGGATTCTACTAAACTTTTTTCTACTGAATTTTTTTAAAATAGCAGATGTTTCCACATGGCTAAACTACCTAGAAATTCTTGGTAAGAAGTAAAAGCTTCTCTACCATTATCAAATGAATTAATTTATGAATCTATGAATTTATGAATCTGTTTTCTACTATTAAAAATCCTAAATGGCTAAAGACATTCAATAGTACTTAGTACAACAGAAATAATAATAAATCCATAAACCTACAAAGCATAAGTCTCAGAAACAAAATAAAAATTACCAAAAACTCCAATTAACTGGATGAACACTTCGTTACAAATAATACGATGCATGAAGCTTTTAAGACATGCGCCAGAAATGGGGTATCTGCCTGGCTCAGTCAGGAGAGCATGTGACTCTTGATCTCGGGGTCATGAGTTCTAGCCCCATGTTGGGTGCAGAGCTTACTAAAAGTAAATAAACTTAAAAAAAAAAAAAAAAAGATATGCCCTAGGAAATAAAAGTTCTTCCTTTAACTCCCAAAAGAACTTCATCCAGTAAAGGAAAGACTATTGAGTTAGTGGTTCTTTATATCTTATCAACTTTTACTGATCACAGATGATAAAAATATATTTCCTTCTTATTCTAGAATGACCTAACAAGAACCAGAACAGCAGACATAAATCTCTTTTCCATCTGCGTCCATAGAGGACTTTCACTTACTTTGCTCTTTTTTAAACCCAAAACCAAATAATGATTTGATTTGCCTTATTTCAGATATTATACTGAACACATTTGAAACTCTTCAATAAAATACTTTTGCTCACTTCTTTTTTCCCAGTATTTCATGAGTGCCTGACATATACTATGCATTCAGAAAACACCGGTTGAATTTAATTGATTTGCATTAAATTACAGACTATTAAAGGTGTATCTTAACAATATTTTTCTTATGAAAGTGAAATATGCTGAATCTCCATGCGACTAGGACAATGAGACACCATTAACTGCATTATATCAAAGTTTTTGTATTACATAATTGCTCTATATCCTACAAGATACAGCATGGAATATATAATGGAATCTACCTGGAGAAAGAAAAGCTCTATTATTGTGAGACACAGGAAGCCTTAGATGTATCTGTAATGCTTAACAATTTACAAAGCATTTCCATATGTATACACATATATAGGCATGTATATAAATACCCATGCTATCATTAGACAAATCTTAAGTAGTATTGCATATTTTACATACATTACATATGCATATATACTATATGTAGGAGGCATCATTTTATTGATGATGAAATCAAAATTCTGAGAAACTGAGTACTGGGCAGTTCACAGGTGAAAAATCTGAAATTGAACTCAGGTCTCTAAACTTCAAACTCAAGGGAACCTTCTACTTGGCTTTTGTTGGATACTTAAAAGATAACATGTTTTTACTTGGAATAACGGCAAGTTTGTGGGTAAACAGTCATTGTCTTTGCAACCTCCCTCCTAACTGGGAATGGATAAAAAAATCAGACATGATATTCACAAGACACCCTGGCATTTGGAAACTGCGGACATGTTTCTCTAGCCTATCATGTTTGGGTGCTTGAGTTTATCTAAGATATCTTACTACTAAATAGCATATGAAGGGAGGTGTACTTCAAATTCATATAAAGCTTAAAATTGTTACAACATGAGTCAATGAAACAATGCTCCAGCAGTGAAACAAAGGGTGTTTTGAATCCACATCAACATGAAAGAGAAGAAAAAGAATCCTTTTATTCCTTAACCCAGCCAACATGATGCTCATCAGTTATTCAAAGTGTGAAGGTGAGAGAAAGGTGCTCACAGACAACAGTCTTGCCCTGCACTTAATTCCCAGGTCAGTACTGCACAGCCAGCCATGCCTCACCTCGCCGTCTCCTTCCACTCCATCTCCTGCCCATCCACGGCCAGCAGCTCATCCAGTTCCGTGAAGAGCTGAGGGGGTGCTGGGCTGTCATCCTCCTCGCCCAAGATGAATCGGATACGTTCTGCGGCAGGGGAGACTGCAGAAGTGAAAATACTGCGGTTAAACACTGGCTGGACAACCCTGAGGAAAGTGTAGCTCCAAGCTCTTCCTCTGTCCCCAGGGCTATTGGACTTCCCAGCCACGTTTTCTGTGGACATCCTCCTTGCTGAGCCTCCCTTATCCCCAACCTAAAGACAAAAGAAGTCAAAGTCCTTCTCTGTTCCTTCGGTCCTAAACTGTATCTCAGATGGCCACCACTCTCCAGGACAGGGCTCTGGTTCTGCGTGGAGTGTCACAAAGAACCTTTAGCCCTCAGATGAGCTGAGGTCCAACTGCATGACTGTCCCTCCTTCCCCACTTATGACCTGTCCAAAATTAGTAGACAGAAACTAGCCTGAGCCAATCACTTTTTCTACAGCAGTGGGAGGGGGCAACAGAGCACCCCAATCCTTAGTTACCCCAGGCCCTGGCTTCCCACCCCCCTTCCTTCTGTCCAATGCCTAAAGCTCATGCCCTCACAGGATCCTCACTGCCTGTAACTCACTAAGTGCAAAGTTGATGAGGGAATATTTAACAAGACGGGGCCTCTTCTTTACATAATGGCCATACCCAAAAATGTTTAGTCACACTTCAATGCACCTGAAAAACAAGCCCAAGTAAAATATTGTACGCCTGAAGAAAAAAACTTTTCTGACACACTAAAGCACATAATTGAATGCCCTTCTAGCTCCTTTTGACCCTATCTCCTGAAAATCATGTAATGAAAAATTAACTAGAACTTCCCTCAGGTTGTGGTTAATCCCCCCCCCTTTTTTTAACAAGGAAATTATTTGAAAACTGATGGTCATATTACAAAACTAAGGTGCACAGATACTCTTTAAAATCCCTGGGTAAAGCCAAGAATGGTATATCTATGTGAATGTAGTACAGGTATACAGATACATCTGTGTACAAACACACACACACACACACACGCACGCACGCACACACACACACACACACACTGCAGAAATATATATACTCAATAAAAAAAGAAAATCCCTACCATCTGAAAACTACTATATTGGGACAAAATGCAATTCCATAGATCAAAAAATACTACAAATAAACTCATGAAAAGTATTCAACCTAACTAGTCATCAAAAGTAATTATTAAAATAATGGGGTGTCTGGGTGGCTCAGTCAGTTAAGCATCCAATTCTTGACTTCAGCTCAGGTCATGATTTCATGGTTGTGGTCAAGCCCCATATCAGGCTCCACACTGTCAGTGCAAACTTGCTTGGGATTCTCTCTCTCCCTCCCTCTTTCTCTGCCCCTCCCCTGCATGCTCTCTCTTAAAAAATAAAATAACATAAAATAACACAAAATAAATAAAATAAAATAGATACGTTTTATCTATGAAAAGAGCAAATGCTTTTTTTAAAATTTTTTTATGTTTTATTTATTTCTAGGAGAGAGAGAGAGAGAGAGACAGCATGAGCAGGGGAGGGTCAGAAAGAGAGGGAGACACAGACTCTGAAACAGGCTCCAGGCTCTGAGCTGGCAGTCAGCACAGAGCCCGGCACGGGGCTCAAACCCACAAACTGCAAGATCATGACCTAAGCGAAAGTCGGATGCTTAACCGACTAAGTCACCCAGGCACCCCTAGCAAATGCTTTTAAAAGTGAAAATCCCAACGTTGCCAGAGAGTTAGAACATGTGCATCAACACTTCTCAGTTTATGTCCCTGATACAAGCCTAAGTGGGAATGTATTTCTAAAGGGAAACTCAGAAGGATATGAAAATGTTTTAAAAGTATATACATTATGTGAGCCAGTAATGCTACCACTAGAAAGACATTTATTCCAAATAAGTAATAGTTGTTATCTCAAAGACAGAGGTATCCACTGCAACACTATAAAAAACTATGAAAAATAAAAGCCTAAATGTCCAAAAAGGATTGGTTAAATTGCACTACAACTATCCAGTAAATTACCATGTGGTTATAAAACATGAAGTCAAGGAGCACTTGGGTGGCTCAGTCAATTAAGCGTCTGACTCTTGATTTTAGCTCAGGTCATGATCTCACGGTCAGTTGTGAGATCAAGCCCCATGTTGTCCTCCACGCTAAGCATGGAGGCTACTTTGGATTCTCTCTCTTCCTTTCTCTCCACCCCTCTCCACCCTCAAAAATAAATAAATATTAAAAAAAGCATGAAGTCAATATTATTATTTTTGACATACATACCAGATTAAATGAAAATAAAATTGCAAAATCATGCAAATAAAGGGACCCCACTTTAGTAAAGGAAAAATACACATATACCCACAAAATAAAGTCTGGAACTGAGGGAGCCCTCACTATGCATGGTTCAAATGTGCATGAATTTCAGTTACCACCATTTAGTTAAAGAACACCAGTCCTCTAATAATACTGTTGACATTTCAGTTAGCAAAGTGTATTACCTGTGAGTAACTGCATAAAGGACGAACTTCACTGCTAGCTCTTCAGTCTTTAAGTTACTATGTAAATAACATACACGCATCATGATCAGTGACCAATCATAATGCTTTTTGCAAAGTCTATCAGTGATTGGTCACTGCACATTTGGTACCCGGTTCATGTACAGGCAGCAAAGTGAGTACCTGTGTTGCCTTCCTATCTTTCAATGATAAATTCACATAGCATAAATGATCAAAAGAGGGAAGTGGCCAACAGAGATGAAAGTAGAGTACAGACAGAAAAAGTGATATGGTGGAAATGAAATCTGTGTCAAATGGAAAGGGGGTTATAGAAGACAGAACGCTGCTCATGGGGAGGTTGACAATGCTGCCAATAGCCACATGAGAGAATCTAGAGACACAGTCAAAAGGCACGCTGCGTAGCACACAAACGTAGCAACGTAAATAAGGAAAGTGGCTGCACCAAAATGATGAAGATGTCCCAGAGGAAGTGCTGCTGGCAAAACAGAAAACAAACAAAAAACCCAGACACAAAAAAGGCCCACTTCACATTAAAGGAACTCTCAGAGACATTTCTTGACCTGGAAAGCAAAAAGGAGAAAATGTTGGAAGCAGACGCAAACAGAGAGAGGAGTATGCCATTCGGCTGACACAGAAAAGATGCCTGCTTCATTTGCTAAGTTGTACAATGGGACGAAGGCAAGCACTATTTCAACCACTTCTGAGAAGATTTTACGAAGAAACAAAACATTTTAGTCTTGATGCTTCTGATGTTTTAGAGTGTACTAAATATCAGGTATACTATTTTTTTCATTTCCCCAGCAAGAGCGATTTTAATAATCTGACAAAAATTTTTAAAAGTCAAAGAAAAATAGTAGCCTTTCCCATTGATTATTAGGATGGTTTTGCATAACTTGAGCCTGAATAGTTATATTTATGGCCTTACACTACCACGCAAAGCAAGGACGGCCTATATATACAACTTTTAAATGTTATACAGTTTATTTCTAGGGCTTCTATTTTCTTCCTTTTACTTTTCTATCTGTTCTGCAGTGTGCACAGTTCATTCATGCATTCATTCAGCAGTATTTACGGAGTACCGCCTTTGCTCTAAATAGGCTTGAGTTTCAGGCTCTGAAGATAAAGCAAAAAACTTGACAAGATCCTTGTTCTTATCAAGTTTACATCCCTAGAAAGGGACACAAAAATTAGCTAATTGATTGTTTAGTGAATAATTAATTGGTTATATGAATGAATAAATTAGTGCACAAACCAACAAAATGTATCTCCAAACTGTTCTGTGTTGTGCAGAACATTCAAATAAGATAATTGAACATATATTAATATAAAACACAACATGTTTAATTTCAGTAATTAGAAAAAAGTGACTTTGAAACTTTTTAACATCGCTGTGAGAAAAAAATCAGAAGTTCCAGAACTTTCATCAGAACTTTTATGTAAAAAGACTTGCAATGCCTTTCCAATCAAGAAATGGAAAGTGTAATCATTCTAGAGAATCGTGGGAGTCATGAAAGAAATGATGGGGGTTAAGAAATGATGGGCAGAATTTAGAAAAATGTGAAACGGACAATCAGAGATTTGATTGGACTTTTCATCAACGTTCAACATCAAAGATCCCTGAGGCAGAACTAGCTTCTGGAAAGGAAAAGTCTACATTTAGAGAATCAATTTTTTGTTCACTTCTAAAAACGTGATGTGAAAAAAAAATAAAAAATAAAAAAAAATAAAATAAAATAAAAAAAATAAAAACGTGATGTGAGTTAGTCTCCACCTCTAACAGAGAAGAATAAATCTTCCTCCTCTTTACAAAAGAGACTCTCCTGCAGGGCCACAGCACACATCTCTGCTCAGCTTTGATCCGAGGAGCATTACTCTGAGGTCCAGGATCCTCAAATTAAGAAAGCACAACTCACCGCTTATCAGACAGACTTAGCTGTGGCTTCCACACACTGGAATGGAAGGAGGCTGTCACATTACTACCAGTTCAGACACTCTGGGTCTCATGTGTAAGTTGTCTTATGTACTAAACACAGCTTCTGAGCGACCAGTACAACAGTTCCTTTGGAATAAAATTCCAAAATCTCATGTCATAAACTTGCTTGATACTCTAGTAAGTTTCTTTCCTTAGTTGATCCCCTAGGTTTCCCCAGAAATTAGAAGAGGCCACAGCAACTGTGTTGTAACTATAGACCTGTGGGAGGGGCATACTCTATAGTCAGCAAATATCCTTCCCAATCTCTAACGTCATTCTTAACATAAAGATATGCAGAATGAGAGTCTCCCTAATGAAGAACGTCATAAATTCATTTTTTCCCCATAACTTTTGATCAAACAGGGAAATGAGCTAAACAGAAGACACGGCACTTCGTTGAGATTAAGCATATAGACTCTGGAACCAAACTACCTAGATTTGGATTCAAACTCTGCTACTTTATGCTATGTGACCTGAGACAAGTTAATTATCCTCTCTGTGTCTCAAGTTCCCCACCTGAAAAATAGGATGGTGATGATCACTATAGAGGTTAAAATACAAGGTTTAAATTAGTTTAAAAATTGCCAGCCCTTACTAGCAAA